GGGGGGGCACTGGCACTGGTCCGGTGCCCCCCTGCCCCCCAGCCCAGGGGGTGCCCATCTCTGGGATTCCAACTGTCCCTGGGGGGGGGTGGGTGCCTGTTGCCCGTGCTGGGGTGCCCAGGGGGTCCCCCAGTGACCCCCCCCGGGTGCTGAGGTGCCCCCCACCCCGTGCCAGCTGTACCTGGGGGTGGTCCTGGCCGCCGTCGTCATCGTCACCGGCTGCTTCTCCTACTACCAAGAGGCCAAGAGCTCCAAGATCATGGACTCCTTCAAGAACATGGTGCCACAGGTGGGCACCGCGGGGGCATCCGGGGGGGTCTGGGAGGGCAAGGGGGGAGTGGGCACCCCCTGAGCTGCCCTGTGCCCCCCCAGCAAGCGCTGGTGATCCGGGAGGGCGAGAAGATCCAGATCAACGCCGAGAACGTGGTGGTGGGAGACCTGGTGGAGGTCAAGGGAGGGGACAGGGTGCCCGCAGACATGAGGATCATCTCCTCCCACGGCTGCAAGGTGGGCACTGGGGGCACTGGGGGCACTGGGGAGAACTGGTGATGACACGGGGTGGGCACTGGAACAGGCACAGGGGGCACTGGGGGTACTGGGGGCACTGAGAGGGGACAGGGTGCCCGCCGACATGAGGATCATCTCCTCCCACGGCTGCAAGGTGGGCACTGGGGGCACTGGGGGCACTGGGGATGGGGGTGCATGAGCACTGGGGGCATGGGATGGGCACAGGGTGGGCACTGGTGGCACTGGAGGTACGGGGGTCACTGGGAGGAACTGGAGGTACGGGAGGGGCACTGGGATGGACACAAGGTGGGCACCGGGGTGAGCACGGGGTGAACACCGGATGAACTTTGAGACAGGTGGGGGCTGGGTGCACGGTGGGCACCAGTCGGTGCCAGGACTGGCACTGGTGGGCACTGGTGGGGACAGGGGGTGGGCACTGGTGGGGACAGAGGGTGGGCATCATGATGGGGACAGAGGATGGGCATCATGATGGGCACGGGAGGGGCACTGGTGGGGACAGGGGGTGGGCATCGTGATGGGCATGGGGGGCACAAGGTGAGGTATTGGATGGGCACCGAGTGGGCACTGGGACTGGCACCGGTGGGTGGCACGGGATGGGCACGGGGTGGGCAGCGGTGGTGGCACGGGATGGGCACGGGGTGGGCAGCGGTGGTGGCACGGGGCCATGTGTCCCCCCCCAGGTGGACAACTCGTCCCTGACGGGAGAGTCGGAGCCGCAAACCCGCTCGCCAGAGTTCACCCACGAGAACCCCCTGGAGACCAGGAACATCTGCTTCTTCTCCACCAACTGCGTGGAAGGTGGGCACTGCCACCCTGGGGACAGGGGACACTCACAACCCCTGGGGACACGGGGACACAAACACACATCCCCTGGGGACAGGGGCAGGGACACAGGGACACAGGGACACAGGGACACAAACACACCCCCTGGAGACCAGGAACATCTTCTTCTCCTCCACCAACTGCGTGGAAGGTGGGCACTGCCACCCTGGGGACAGGGACACAAACACACCCTGGGGACACTGGGGACACAGGGATAGGGACAGGGGACACCCACACACCCCCTGGGGACACAGAACATCTGCTTCATCTGCACCAGTTGCGTGGAAGGTGGGCACTGCCACCCTGGGGACAGGGACAGGGACACAAACACACCCTGGGGACACTGGGAGACACCGTGGTCACTCTGGGGGGGCAGGGGACACACACAGGGACAGGGGACACACACACACACCTCGGGGACACAGGAGGATCCCGTGGTCACTCCAGGGGTCCTTGACCCCCCCAGGCACCGCGCGGGGCATCGTCATCTCCACGGGGGACAGGGTCACACTGGGGGGGACAGGGGACACTCACACACCCCCTGGGGACACCGTGGTCACTCTGTGGGTCCTTCCTCCCCCCAGGCACCGCGCGGGGCATCGTCATCTCCACGGGGGACAGGGACACAGACACCCTGCGGGGACAGGGGACACACTGGGGGGGACAGGGGACACACACACGGACAGGGGACACACACACGGACCTCGGGGACACAGGAGGATCCCGCGGTCACTCCAGGGGTCCTTCCTCCCCCCAGGCACCGCGCGGGGCATCGTCATCTCCACGGGGGACAGGGACACAGACACCCTGCGGGGACAGGGGACAC